CCAGCTCCAGGCACCTCACCTCTCCTCCCACCTCTGCACTGTGGCTCTGGTCACCCTTGCCACAGGCTGGGGCTTGAGCGCTCTGCTGAGGAGTGACCTCCCACACAGAGTCCATGGACAACAAGGTGGAGGAGAGGCAGTAGGGCTGGATGCCCAACCCTGGTGCTAGAGGGAGTCCCAGAGAAGCAAGAATCACTTCCCTTCTTCTAGAGCCAAGACTGAAGATACCAACTCCCTTACCTTCAATCCAATCTATTCCTCTACTCACTTCATTCTGTCATCTCTGACCTTGTTATAAGCATACCAGGCACTGTGCTAAGTACCGTGACATGGATCATCTTATTTCATCCCCACAATTACTCTGGAGATCAGCCCAGCGTCCTACTAAGCTACACTGCCTCCCTGTGCTAAGTGGAGGCCCAGTGGGAGGTCCACTTTGGTTCCCCCCAGGGTGAGTGAGGCTGGGCAGGCAGCATGCCCCTGTGCCCCTTGCAGAGCTTGGCTGAGTGGCCTGGTGAAGAGCCAACTGCTCCAAGGGCCACAGCAAACCAGGCCCAGAGCCCTACCTTCCAGAACTTGTACTCTGATATCCAACAGTTAGCCGAGGACCTGGGATTCGGGGCTAGCCCAAAATAAGCTGGGAGGAGGCTAGGCTACTCCAGGGAGGACAGGTAAGTACGTATCATACACAGGGCTCTGTGCTAGGGGTAGATTCCCATTACAGGTAGTCACCGGGTTACGAACGTCTATGGATAACTTGTACTTAAGAATGGACTGACATAAAGCTGATTATATTAAAAATTTGAGTTAAATACAGTTGTTCATAATAACAAACACACGCATTACCTTGTGACGCTCATGAAAACACTGCGTGATTTGGCAGTGTTTCTTAAGCGTTTTATATGCATCAAACCAAAAACCAAACCATTGCTGTTAAGTCAACTCCAACTCATAGCAACCCTATAGGACAGAGCAGAACTGCCCCACAGGGTTTCTAAGGAGTAACTGGTGGATTCAAACTGCTGACCTTTTGGTTAGCAGCCGAGCTCTTTCACCACTGCACCCCCAGGGCACCGTAGAAAAGTAAAATATATACCACATACTAAGACAAACATTGGACTAACTGACGCTAAATAAGAACCGTTATGTGCCTGTTCCAACTTACCTACAAATTCAACTTAAAGACAGATTTAGGAACTGGTCTTGTTCGTAAATCGGGGACTGCCTGTATTCACCAAATCTTTTCACAGGAAATCCCTCCAGGCTGGCTCTACAGATGGAGAAGGGGGAAAGGAGTACTTCTGGATATTTGGAGGAACTTCCTGGGAGATCACAAGGCTATTCCACTGCTCTGTGTCTAGCTGCTCATAACAAAAACTAAAAACAAGCTAAAAATGCATCAATAAGGGACTGATTATGGTACATGCATACCATGGAATAGTATACAGCTAAAAACAGTGAGTCAGAAACATCAATACAAACAGCGCATTTAATCTGAACCTTCAGAATCCAGAAATATACATGAAACCTGATGAATTCTATTTACCTGTCAAGTACATCTATACAAGTTCCTTAACAGTATGTCAAAAGCTTTGTAGCAACCCTCAACTAATACACCCCCTCCCCCTCAAAAAATGTACTTACATTTGCCATTCTTTCAATCTAAAAACTGTAGATTTGAATGCTTTGTAAGTCCCTACCGTCCTTAGGAAAAAACAGTATTATTTTTACCTTTGTTTAAACCCTTTTAAGCCATGAAATGTTGTGTGATGAACTACTTCTTTCCAAAGAAACCCTGTTTGAAATTGAGGCCATTGTTAATTGATTCCATCTTCTCTTCATGTTATGTACGAATTAAAATTTCCCCCTACTTATTCACAGCAGCAAGATCCCTAGGTGGGGCAAGCGGTTTGCCCTCAACCACTAACCTAAAGGTTGGAGGTTCAAACCACCCAGCGGTACTGTGGAAGAAAAGGCCTGGTGATCTGCTTCCATTAAGATTACAGCCAAGAAAACCCTATGGAGCAGTTCTACTGTGTAACACACGGGGTCACCATGAGTCAGAATCAACTCAAAGGCAATAGTTTTTTTTTATGCATAGCAGATAGGATAAACTAAGTAACAGTTGCCTTGACCAGTGTCATGCAGTGTTGATTACTACTTCATCATAATGTTAGAATAGTAACTTCAGCGTATTTTCTTCAATATATTTTTAAATAAGTTCTGAGGAGAAAGTGGTTTAATTTCATCATTGAAAGTTTATCTGCACCTCCCGCCATTTTATCTTTTTTTGTTTCCAGTTAAAATTATCCTCTATGATTTAAACGGATAAACATTTAAATCAACTCTGACCAAAGTTTTGTTTCGTATAAGCTGTTGCCATAGACTCATAGTGTATAGCCATGGTTTAAATCTGTATTCACAGTGAGAATTTCATCCATCACTAAAGGAAAAAAAAGGAGAGGGGGAGTAAGTCAGATAAATATAAATACGTCCTGATATATCTTACTCTTTAGACATGCTGTTGAATTAAAAAAAAAAAAGTTATAGGCTGATATATGCAACATACCATAATGTAACCTCCTGAATACTATGTATTTTCTGAGGCTACATACCAACAAACCCATTGTTGTCAAGTCAATTCTAACTCATAGTGACCCTATAGTACAGAACAGAACTGCCCCCATGGAGCTTCCAAGGAGCAGCTGGGGGATTTCAACTGCCAACTCCTTCGGTGAGCAGCCGTAGCTCTTAACCACTGTGCCACCAGGGCTCCAAGGATACATATGTTTACATAAACACTTGGACCAGGTCTAGAAAGACACACACAACCTGACCACAGCTGTTAACCTTTGGGGAGAGGTTACAGGGCATGATTAAAGAGACTCAAGCTTTATCTGTAATGTTTCCATTTCTTACAAGGATTAGTTATGCAATTTGTGTAAGTAAAAGTTAATTTTTGAAAACAGCCACAAAAAGGTTACAAGGCCATTTACTACTGCAGGCTGGTGCAGGCCAATCTATTCTTAAACACCATCATTATGTTGGCCTTGGTTATTGGTGACTGATTTTTTTTTTTTTTTTTTGGTCACAGCTCTGCTCAAAAGTCCATTCTAGCACCTTGATGCCTTGAAATAAAACCCAAACCCTTAGCCTGGGCATACCCAGGGTGTGCGCTGGCCCTCCACATCACCACCATTGCACCCCAATTCTGAAGCACTCTGTCGGGGCCCCACCGCCTGGCCTTTGCTTACGCATTCCCACATCCAGAATGCTCTTCACATGCCTCTTTCCCTACTTAAGTCCAACTCATGCATTAAGGCCAGCTGTGACCACTCCACCTCAGTAGGTGGAGAGCCCTACTGTCCTTGGCCCCTGACTTCTAGGTTCAACCCTTTCCCCCGACAGCCCACAGGCCACTGATGCTGTCTTTAAACTGTAATTGTTGCTGATGAGTGAGAGCTTTTACTTTATGACCTTTACTCTCTCAATTATCCCTCACAACATTCCTATGAGTAGATACTATAATTATTATTCCTGTTTTATAGAGGACCTCAGATTCAAACAGATTAAGAGCACTGCCCAAGGACACACAGCTAGTTAGTAGTGGAGCTACTAGTTATATAATAGCCTATTTACTTATCTCTCCCACAAGACTGAAATCTGGTGACACCAGAGACCCTAGCCTGTCACCCTACGGTGCCTAACATTAACCCGTTCTTAAATAACTACGGGGTCATTGGTGGTTCAGTGGTAGAATTCTTGCCTTCCATGCAGGAGACCTGGGATTGATTCCCAGCCAACGCACCTCATGGCTGGGAGGCTTTTGAGTGTTGTTATGATGCTGAACAGGTTTCAGTGGAGCTTCCACACTAAGACAGACTAGGAAGAAAGGCCTGGCGAACTGCTCTGAAAATCAGCCAGTAAAAACTCTATGGATCACAACAGTCCAATCTGTAAACAATGGTGGGGATGGCGCAGGACTGGGTAGCGTTCGTTCCATTGTGCATGGTGTCCCCATAAGGTGAGGGCTAACTCGATGGCTGCTAACGACAACAAATAAATATGAATTAAATGAATAATGCCCACAAGTATCCTTAAATATAAGTATCTTCTTTATAATAATAGCAAATATTTAGCCCCCTAGCCAAGCCCATACTGTTTTACATGAATCATTCAACTCAGGAGCAGCAACCATCCTACGTGGTAGGTACTTATTATTATTATTGCTATGATGAGGAGGAAACCTGAGCCTCAAAGAAATCAAGTGACTTGCCCAAGGTCACACAGCCAAGAAAGAGGGTCTGGCCTGCTTGGCTCGAAGCCCACCTTCCCCCATTTTACATTCCTCTTCCCCAGGCTGCTGACAAGCCCAGCTCTGTTCCATTTTTTCCGAGGCAGAAACTGAGGGTGTGAGCAGTGAAATTTCTTTTTCGCTGTCAGTGAATCAGCAGTTGGAGGTTTGGGGAACCATGAAAGGTCCACCTGTAAGGTTCCTCTGAGGTCACCCTGGCCTGGTCCCTAGGCCACGACATTCCTAGGCATTGGACGGAAGCTACTGGAACAGCCCCCCTAAGGGACAGCGATGAGAGAGGCGGCCACTCCTTGCGGGGGTCCAGGAGTCACTGAGGGGCAACCTGGTCGCCCCCCACCACAGCACTGCCAGCCATGGTTGGGCTCCTGGGCACTCACCCAGTGGACTGGGCAGGGGCGTAGGTGGCAGCACAGTGAGAAGCTTAGCAGCCCCATCCAGATGCGAATTGTCCCTCCCGCACTTCCCGGGCTGCAGGGGCCTCGATTAGAGCCCCGGAGGAGTCAGAATCCACACCTCCGCAAATGGGCCCGCTTTCCCAGGGCCCCCCTGCCCAGACCTTCCCTGGACTCTGTGGGTTTTGACACCTCTCTGTAACCTGGTGGGGGGCCACCTCGCACCTTTAGCGCGGATAAAAGCTCAGGCTTGGAGGTGGCTGGTCCAGCCTCCCAGATCCCGTAGCCCGGCGATGGCCCAGTCGCCTCCTCCGCAGAGCTTCCTCAGCCACGACCATTGGATCTTCCCCCAGGGTTGGGGCTGGGCAGGCCACTCGGACTCTACGTCCCCGGCCTCGTCCTCGGATTCGTCTGGCTCGTGCCCTTGCGACGGCGCCCGCGAGCCCTCGCAACCCGCGCCCCAGGCCCGCAGCGACCTTGCCG